CATTCTTGTGTGAATGTAGGTAAACATTTGCCCACATTAAGTCGAGTTTCTACTGGAGTGATAAGACACTTCTGGTGTGATAACATGGCTTGTTTGGGATGGAACAAACAACTTCGAATCAGAACAATCTGTCGATGCCTCAGGAACACGGCACTTTGAGGTTTACGAAAAGGTTTGCAGGTAAATCTGCTTACGAACCGCAAATCGACATGAACAACAAACATGATGATTAGGCGGCTTGTGTTTGTCTAAATCCGTTACTCTTAGCATCTTGTGGATGCAAGTCTGGAGAGCTGGACAGACGCCAAAATTCTCATCCGCAAACTGACGATGTCGGAACTGCCGGAGAGTCTAGTGTTGAGTGTGAGGCAACAGGGTTGGATTGCGATTTGCCACAGAAGAACGAGGCGAAACAATTGCCTCATATGAAGCCTTCCCCCGAGCCAGGTCCCATCGATGCTGCACTGCAGTAATACCCTGTCCATGTGCACACCAATCACACACAATGTGTATCTCCACAGGCCGCTTTCGTCACACGCACAACAACAGTTGGGCTAAAGGACAGACATGACGGAGGTCCAGCCTTGACAAAGACATGGTCGAATCAAGTCTTGACTAAGAACTGCATTCTTACGAGGCCGCATAAGGTTAGTTAAGGACTGATAGTAAAATTCTTGCCATACATTGCCATTGAAGTTACCTAACCTTATCTCCAAAAATGTCATCTTATCTCGGCCGAACAGGACTAAAGTTCAGCCCTCGTCTGGGTCTTATTAACACTACCAACAGGATTCGTAATTAGGTCGTGGCGTGAGCATCATAAAAATCCCACTATAAAACTGTGAAAATTACCACTGTCATGTGACTCATTGGCACAATTGTTCATGGGGTGAATACAGTCTTTGATGAAGATCTAAAGACAGCAGCGAAATATGCTCATTATGAACAAAAAGTCTTCCTGCATGGAAGTGGTCTGACCTCGTTTGTGTAGCCTAGTCGACTTGTCAGAGCGACCTGGTTGAACGTACCTTGTCCGATTTCCTCTGCTTGAGTATGTATGATAATTCCCAGCGTCTGACTGTGAATGAGTACAGTTCCAGAAGATGTGCCACAACCGTTCGTCAGAAAGTTGGCAAGAGGATGCAATTCACCTGTCTCTTTGTTGTGTTGTGACTTAGTGCTAAGACTGGCAAGATTCACTGACGATGCATGTGAAACGTTTTGGAATGTGCCAAATCCACGGTCCGCAGCTGGGAATTATCATGACTACAATAGCAAAGGACTTTGAAAAGATGTGCCAAACTAGGTCGCAAAAACAAGTTGAATACGAGGAACGAATGTAGGAAACGAAGTAAGAACTATCTTTGGCTGTTGAATAGAATTAGAGGGACAAACTAAACTGGAGCCTGTTTTTGTACCTAAAATTGCCAAAAAAACTCGTGATTGTTGCATTTCACACATGAGCATGCATCCCAGGACTACAAGATTGTATGACAGTTTATTTTCAGGGGCAAAAGTTGTGACCACATTAGCTCCCTTTGACCCGCTTATATGCATGTGGGACAAGCATAAAAGAACCAACATTAAATCATGGAATGTCTCATTAAGATCGCAAAGCGAGGTATAAGAAAT